CGACACTGGCTAAACTGTTTCAATTTTCAGTAGCCACCTGCACTTGTTCAGAGCTCTGAAATACACGCTTTCTCATTGGCTATGTCCACGCATAGGCGTGCTTTACTCCGCGTGGACCGGTGAAACTGCCTTTGATCTTATACTTGCTGCGAAATTTGGCGATTTTTGCAGCAACAGAGCGTGTTAAATAAAACGCACCCGGTATTTCACAGTGTTTCAAGTGACTTCAGATAAAGTATACATATTTTAGTTTTCAAAAGGCTGATGTTGAAAATAATTGAATTTCAGGATCCGATATCTAACAAAACAAGTTCATCAGACATTTTATTTAGCGATCTACTTACAAACAACATAACGAACCGCGTAGCTGCCTAATTGCTCAAGAAATGATTGCGTATCATCATTACTAATTACAGTTACCTGTTCTGCTATTTACTATAATTGCACATACGTTGAGTATGGTGCTAAGTGGTTATCAGAAAGTGCATCGCTTTTGTGATGACGTGCGAGAAAATAAATAGTCACAAAAACATGATCTCATAAAAAATACTCAACGAACATTACTTCAACATTGTCGTAAAAATAAGAATGTGCTCGTCAAAACGTTTTAAAAGAAATTTCCAATTTTTTTTACACAGAAGCAGCAGCGCAGGCAGAAGCCTAAAGCCAGCGCACCGCGGCTGCTATCTCAAAGAAATTTTATTAATCCGATTTTTGAACTGCCTAAGGTTAGCAAAACTGGAAATAGCCTCCTTTTGTAGATGGTTCCACAATCTCGGTACCCTCGGGACAAAGGAGTGGTCGTATCGACCAGTTCAGGATGTACGAGGTTCGACACTGCTAGGATGGAAGGCCGAAGACATCAGGCACATCGTGGCTCTGAGGAGCAAAGCCCGTTGGTGTAACGGTAGGGCTAGATTGCCGACGGCCGGCCGGTGCGAAAAGGTCCCGAGATTGTCTATTAGATAGGTGTTACTGTGAATAAAAAGAATTTGTCATCGCATGGCAATAACTTTGGCTTCTTAATAATCGCGCTTACAAAGAGCATGGCCTTCCGTAACCCACCCATCACCTCGTTATAGGAGCTTTTTGGGTAAAATTTTCAGTTGCTGCCCCTTGTTATAAGCATTCAGCTTATATGGAACTACCATGACGCTGAAAGACATTCTAGAGAGCCGTGGGGCAGAATTTATAATAGAAAATTGATCGCTTATGATTCGACAAACTGACAAATTCAGAATCTACGCACCCGAATTTCCTGAAAAAATCCTATTGGAGACGCATGGGTTTATGCAAAATTCTTCCTGGGAAAACATTCCATTTTGGTCTATGTCTATCATTTTTCGAAGCAAATGATATAAGATGGTAATTTAAGACTCTGAATTAAAGCATTTCCTTTTCCATATACAGGGTGTTTCAGTTAATTGTTGCATAACTTTAAGATTCGATAGAACTTTTAAAATTAATGCATAAAGTCTATATAAACATCGGTCGAAAAATGCGTGGCTTCCGAAATACAGGGTGTTTAAATTTACTTTCTAAAATAGTTTTTTTTAAATATTTAGAACAATATTTGATGTATAACAGTGAAAATTGCTATACAAGGGTTTTTTGGTACGACAAAACGAACCATGGGCATAGTTTTACTGTAGCCGCTAGAGGGCGCTCTCTACGGTACCTGTAGTGTATTAAAATGACCTAAAATTAATTATTTACAACTAAAATGTTATTGGATAGTTAGGATAAACATGCAAAATCTAAAGTAGTTGCTTGAAATGTAAACCCAATTGTTCAATACACAATTCACATCTACGCTAGATCGAACGTGGTATAGCATTATTCAAATAAGGCCTTATTTCATCACATGTATTCCTGATTCTGTCTATTAGCATATCTCTTGTGGTTACGGGAGTCTGGTACACTTTTTCTTTTAGAAATCCCCACACAAAGAAATCTAATGGATTTAGTTCAGGGGATCGTGGAGGTCAGGCGACTGGTCCTCCACGGCCGATCCATCTTTCTGGATAATTTTCGTCCAGCCAGTTTCTAACTATTCTCGAATAATGAGCTGGACAACCATCAAGCTGGAACCAGGCCAATCTTCTTAAATCTAACATAACATCATCCCACATATTTGCATGTTCAACCTTTAAAAATTCCAAGAAGGTCGCAGCATTTAACCTTGCAGGCAAAAGGTAGGATCCAAATAGTCGATTACGGTAGATACCAATCCACACGTTCACACTAAATTCATGCTGAAAATTTCTTTCCCGAACTGCATGCGGATTTTCATGCGACCAAATATGTTGATTATGAAAATTTACCACTCCACGTCTAGTGAAGCATGACTCTTCGGTCCATAAAACGTTACTTAAAACTCCCTATTATTATCAGTTCTATCAAGAATCCACTGACAAAATGTGATTCTTCGTTCTCAGTCCCCTGGCTGTAGTCCTTGCACAGGTTGCAAATGGTAAGGACGTCTATTGTCATTTCTAAGAACACGGTGAATATGGCTTGCTGAAATTCCCAAGGCACCAGAAACTCTCCTAACACCTGTGGTCGGATCTCTATCAAACTCGCAGAATCATACGGGTAAATCTGCGCTGACGAACATTTATGTTTTGATCCCTTTGGAGATTTCCAAAACCATTTTCAATTATTTGGCGATGCACTCTTACAAATACTGAGCGAGTTGGATGTCGTCTGTTTGGAAATCTTCGTGCGTATTCTCTGGCTGCTTCTGCTGCATTTCCATTTACAAAGCCATACACAAAATGAATATCCGCTAACTCTTGATTGGAGAATAAAAATGGCATTTTTATAAAACTTACAAAAAAAAACAGGTAAAAGAAACTAAATTTCGTGCATTCACAATTGCAAAAAAACGTTTCAGGTTTCAACAGATAACAAAACTAACTGTCGACTAATTGACGTTTAACCTTATTCTGCTTTCAATTTCAAAAATATTCGCAGGCACAGCCTACTTCTAAAAATTATCGAGATACTGACTTGTTAACTTTATTTTATCATAGATAATTAAAAATGCATCGAACCTTAAAAATCGAGATATCTCAAAAACGGCTAACTATAACGAAAATTCACAAGAATGCTTTTTTATGTTGAAAAGTGCGAAGAATCAGTTTTTTTATTCAAAAAGCAAAAAATTGCACTAAGAAAAAATTTTAGGTCATTTTAATACACTACAGGTACCGTAGAGAGCGCCCTCTAGCGGCTACAGTAAAACTATGCCCATGGTTCGTTTTGTCGTACCAAAAAACCCTTGTATAGCAATTTTCACTGTTATACATCAAATATTGTTCTAAATATTTAAAAAAAACTATTTTAGAAAGTAAATTTAAACACCCTGTATTTCGGAAGCCACGCATTTTTCGACCCATGTTTATATAGACTTTATGCATTAGTTTTAAAAGTTCTATCGAATCTTAAAGTTATGCAACAATAAACTGAAACATCCTGTATAAAATAAGAATTGTTAGATGTTATGAACAGGAAAATGAAGAATAAGTTTTCGTGTGGGTATTGTGTCTTTTAGCACTGGAACTTTTCCTGAACTCTTGAAGACAGGTAAACTAGTTGTCATTTATAAAAAAGGCGACATCTAATCGGAAACAATCATAGACCATAGACCAATATTAATGTCATCTGAATTCTCTAAACAAATTGACTATTAATTTGTACATAGATTTTAAGGATAGTCTCAAAGACATATGGCATCGTTTCCAATAATCAACGTGGTTTACAGAGAAACAGATCTACCAATACTACCATACACTCTTTCTACGAACAGCTGATTAATTATATTGAAAACGGTGAATGTCCGGTGGGTATTTTTGTGATCTTTCCAAGGAATTCGATTGTGTAGGTCACAACAAATTGGCTAGATTTGGGATTAGGAGCAATTCTTTGTCTTGAATAGCATCAGGTCTTCGGAATCGACAGCAATTTGTTTCCATAAATGGTGACTCCTCAGATAGTAAGCGCAATAAACATCGGTGTGGCCCAAGGATCAGTATCAGGTCCCTTCCTTTCCGAAATATGCATCAACGACTCGGATAATCTGTGAGTGTCAGCCGCATACACCACGCGGATGACACTTCGATACTCATTTCGGACAAATTGTAGTCGCTTGAGCAAAAATTTAGCCTCACCATTGACCGAACCAACGGTTAGTTCGATAAGAATGAATTGCTCGACGTTCCATAACAGACAGAAGCATTGTGACTATTTGTTGCTACGGGTAAATTCCTCCATAACCACAAATAGGTCAGTGTTTGAGTTGGACATTTCATTGCCAATCATTAATCTCCAAAACTACACTCAAAAACATTTTTGATGAACAATTTAGGTCAGTGCTGTGTGATCAATTGCTGTTGCTGTACCATGCCCATGTTAGTAGCAGACTTCACCATGATGTGTGTTTCTCGGGTATGAGCAGAGGTTAACAAGATGTTCGCTTAACCCCGAACTATTAAGTCGATTGTCAATTTTAATTTGTTTGTGAAGTACCTCAAGAAAATTTTAGTTGATCAATGTTTTTATAGCTTTGATGTTCCTGTTCTCACCAAATCCATGTAATGTAGTTTCATGAGTTTGTGTATATTCCACCTATACTTTTTTATAGATATTATTGCTTTTAGAGTGTTTATTCCATTTTTACCTTTCTGTAAGTCTTATAAATTCGTTTTTCCGTCCTTGACAATCCCGTTACGATTTGTAACAAATTTTCTTTTGGTGAATAAATATTATGATTATTATTATTATCATGTCCGTCACAATGTTGCGAACTGTCGTATAGGCGAATTTAAGGTATAAGATTGGACCTTGTGCCTGCCGTCAGTATCTGTTACGTGGTATCACTTTGCTTGACGGAAAACCAATCACTGCCAAGAACAATGACATGCGCATAACATTCGCATCAGCCCTAATCGTGTACAAAGAAAGCATTATTCTGTCTAACATGCCTTCCTTGATTCCAGGTTACAACATTAAGCTGTCACAAAAATGCCATTGGTGACACAGTCTAAAAATGTGGTTATGTACTATGCAGTCCTTTTCGTCGTATGCGTGCTGAGCACGAATGGGAAGCCTTCATTGTCTTTCAACCTGCCCTTCAAGGGACCGTTTGCCAGCTTCGTTAGCGGTGGTAATAGGGTCAACAGATTTGCGCTAAAGGAATACAGGTAAAATACTATCGCGTCTGTGATAAATACAGTCCAAGGGTAAATGCTTAAAAACCTCTTAAAGTGTGTCCAACAGATACTTCACACTGACTTATATTATTAGAATATTTTGCTTGTTTGTTGAAGATTTATTTAGCATTAATGTTACAATATCATTTTTGTATAATTATTCGTTTACACATTTTTGTGAAACAATTTTTTGTAATTTTACATTCTCGTCTATTCAAATCATATCACTATGTATTTTGGGTATTTATAAAGTGATTTTTTAATTTCACCTTAAATATTTTTAAATTCGACCACTATTCAATATTATGGAAGTATGGTAGTCATGTTTTTTAGATAGAATTCCCCAAATGCAGTCCTCGGGTCCTCACCAGTAGCTTGAGAAATGTTTTGCTTAAGGTCATTAATGGCATGCGGATTGTTTGAAATAACCTTCCTATCCTAGAGTGCATGATCGCGTAACCTCAGTGGACATTGCGCTTACAATTCGAAAAAGTTTTCCTAGACTTATCATGTTGAAGCCACATAAAGTGTCATACAAATTTTGTTTTCCCTGTATATTTGTGGTAACGCTCGTCATTCCATTGTCACACTCATTTCTATTATGTACTAATCTGCGAGGACCCTTTCGTAATGAAAAAACGGGCTAAAGACCCACGGTCTGCTCGGTATGAGTAGGTGTCAGGTTAAGTCCATTATCACAATTTTCATCAAACAATGAGAGTTCTGCTACTACAGATAGCGCTACGATCTTTAATCCCTTTCTGGCCTCTCCAATGTCTAATTATTTATCTTCCAGCATTGCTTAACATATTACACCTGGAGATATCCAATTAAAATAGGCATTAAAGAGGCCAAAAAGATCCTAGCGCCGTCCATGAGACAATAGCAGAACCAAACACTCTGCTACTGTAGTAGTAGATCCCTTTTTAGATGCCGGAACATAGTAAATGATCACCTACCTTCAGGCAGAATACGTTAATTAATGATTTGACGAAGTACCTATATTTGTACAATTCTAATGCATTTCTCCGTGGTAACTCGAACCATAATTAAATTGCCGGGTCTCTAATTGATACTTGGGCAATATAAGGTTTCTAGGCCAAGTCGTTAAAAAATGACGCTAAATTTAAATCCCAAGGCAGACACCTATTGGGACGCACTTTTGAATAAAAGATAGTTGACTTATAGAGGTCTCAAAGGTTTCGGCTTGCAAGTAACTTTTAAATAAATGGCTCTTCAAGGAAAACGCTCAGTGTAGAAGTATTGCTAATATTGGTAATAGTTTGTCTTATTTCTTGTTTTTAGAATGTTTAAACTTTGTTTATTCATGCGTATTGTTTATTTTTATCAATTTGTATATCAGTCCTGAATCAACGTTTGACACAACTTTTTTTCAGCGGGAGAAGAGCTGATGGAGATTCGCTCAGAATGGTATATTTCAATGATCAGACTGTAGCTGTTGTGGAGTTAGGCATGAATAAATTATTGCTCAACTGTGAACTTATAGAAGTCTTGTAAGTAGAAGTGCAAGTTATACCAACTATTACACAGGGTATAATCAGCACGTTAGAATTTTGTTAGGGGGAGCAGATTCAGCACTCTAAAACTTGAAAAAAAGTTCATATAAACATAGGCACGGAAACGCTTTGTACACAAACTTGTCCATCTTTAATTCTTGAAACGATATAGGTACAAAAAGTATATCAAAAAGGCCCCAAGTAGTGAAACTATCAAAATCATACAGGAAGGAAATGTTTGTCAAATGTGGTATATATACCCCAGTGTACTGTGTTACGCCCTCTTTAATATTTAAATTAACTGTGTGGGTGAGAAAGTCAGTTTTGCTGATGATACGGCAATACTATATAAAGGGCAAAACTGATATGATGTAAAGAGAACAATTGAGAATGACTTTTGTAAAATCATTCATTTTTTCAACACTAGAAAATTAACTGTGAGCTTTGTAAAAACGGATTTTCTACCTTTCACATCATATGCAAGACATTTACCCGATTATTTAAACATTTCCTTCAAAATAACGAAATCAGATTTAAAAATTGACAGGGTGGACAATATCAAATAGTAAGGCATGTTTTTAGACCAACTGGGTACATTCAAGATTTGTAACATACAAAATTAAATTCGTCACAGGTGTGTTGACAGAAAATTATATGCGTACTATCATGCCTTAATTGAGCCGCTCCTAATGTACGGCATATTAGCGTGGCATACAGCATGGCCAGCATATTTAAAGGACACTGAAGTTTTACAAAGAACTGTTTACAAACTACGTTCGGAAACCCAAAATTATATTCAACAAATGATTTATACAACGAAAAAAAAATTATTTCATATCAAGCAAATTTATTTCATACATAGTATCACAAAGTTGTCAGTGAGCGCCATGAAACCACACATTGCCATGATACTCGATATATACTAGGTGACATATAAATCCGAACATCCAGTTTAAATGGTTTTATTTTAATAAAATTTTGTATAAGTACTTAATGAAGCATAATAAGTAAATGATAAAAATTTCAAAATGATTGCACTGCTTTAAAGCCCTTTGACCTTTAATAATGTGTGGATGCACCCCGATGTGCTACGCATTCTCCAACGCGCCTAGGCATGCTTCTGATCAGGTGGTCAATGTCCTCCTGTGGTATCTCATTCCAGGCAACCACCAACTCCTCTCGAAGTGCTTCTAGAGTCTGAGGAGGACGTTGCAAATTGAGCAATCTCCTACCCATCATATCCCACACGTGCTCAATTGGGGATAAGTCGGGAGATCTTGGTGGCCATGGTAACAATGTGACATCATTATGTTGAAAGAAGTCTATTGTGACTCTTGCAACATGTGGTCGGGCATTATCTTGTTGGAAAGTTTGATCTGCCAGGGTGTCAAGATAGGGTAAAAGATGGGGTTCTAGAACTTCGTGGATATAACGCTGCGCGTTCATGTTACCTCTGATGAAGATTAAAGGTGACCTGGAACCATAAGCTATAGCACCCCAAACCATAACTCCAACAGTGTGATGAACATGTCTTTCAACAAAAAACTGTGGATTCCTCCTTTCACCACATCGCCTTCTAATCGCTAAGGCGATTACGTCGGTGTTCTCGAGTTAAAGGGAGGACCCAGTGTGGCCGGTATGAAAACAAGCCAAAACTTCTCATTCGTCGGTAAACACTTCGCATGCCAATAGGTCTTCCGTGTTCTGCAAACCATTCATTTGCAATGGACCTGGTAGTGGAGAAATGGTCCCTTAAGGCCAAGCTTAGGCGGCGATCTTCACGGTCTGTTGTTCTACGGCGGCGTCCAGTGCCCCTTGCTCTTTGCGTACGGCCTTCTCGAAGCAATGCCTGACAACACCTAACCACAGTGTCTACACTTCTTTGCACTCTAACTGCAATTGCCCGAAAAGAAAGTCCAGCTTCCCGAAGTCCCACTATACGGCCCCTATCAAACTCACTAATTTGACGAAATCGTACAGGTCTCCGTACTCTAGGCATCGTAACTGATCGTAAAAGATGTCAAGAACCAAAATCCGCCAACGTTGATTCTTTACTGCGGCTGAAATATTCATTTTTAGAGCGTTACTGAATTAAAAAAATATTAATTATAAAAACCGGAATGTCCAACTGATAAGGCTGAAAATTTTTTCACTTGTTATTTACAGTAAGATAAATATTCACCAACTTTTATTAAAATAAAACCATTTAAACTGGGTGTTCGGATTTATATGTCACTTAGTATAAATTACATGCAAACTCTGTTCCTAAACCTCATAATAATAATAATAACATAGTGAAGCGAACTTTTATCTATTTGGCTCCAAAGTTATACGAACACGTACCTTAAGACTTAAAACAATCTCGAATTGCAGATAATTTTAAAAAGAGATTATCAAAATGGATGCACTTAATAGGAAGGCAACATATTATTGAACTCCTATCAAACATTCATTAAAAATTATCGTCTTATATGTACGAGTATATACCTCTGTGACATACATTTTGCTTTGAGTTTCTTATAGCTTTTTTGTTTTCTTTTTGGAATATCACACGCTTCAGCATACAACTGATCCATGTATGTATTTCTTGACCCATTCTATATTGTTATTATTGTTATATTGTGAGGTCAAAACAGCATCGGTATCCTAAAGCCGGATTGATTTAATACTTGAAAACTGCCTCTTGTTTTCCATTCAGATGCACCATTTTTAGAAAAAAAAAGTTACTAACATGTCTTTCTGTTTACCGTTATTAAACAAATAATGATCGAGGTGGCGCTTTGTGACAAACATGTCGAAACACTGCAAGAGACACTTTTCAAAAAGAATGAAAATGGTTTTGAGGAAGAAATACTGATTGAAAAGGCCACTGTCCTACAATTCGTTGCTAAACATAAAGTTCAAACACCTCGCATCCTAGTAAAAGATTCCCGGAACCGTGCTTAGATGAACTTTATCTTTACATTACGTGCTGCATCTACACTGGAATTTTCCAGATTCTGTAGCAACCTGTATTTATTTTTAGTTCGCCAGACCAAGTCTTCGTAGTATTAGGAGAACTCAAAAACACTGCCAGACCAGTAGAAGTGACCTTCCAAGAAATGCTTACGTTGATGAGCCAATGTAAGCAATTGGAAGATGTAACGTATCTCAGCGGCCATAACGAAATGACAAAAAATCATTCCAATGACAGAATGGATTCTCCAAGGGGCACTAATAATCCTTTCTCTCTACTTAGCGGGATTATTCCAGGTATTTACATCATCTACACAATATTATGATTACTATTATAATTTCTTTTTTACTTCCCTGGCGTACTTTCGGTACTGTGATCCTGAATATTTTCAAAAATAGGACATGTAGGTACATATATCATGAAAAACTATGCCAGCCACTTCCATCGGTCTGTCTGTCGGTCTGTCCGCTAATCTTATAACTGCCTATAACAAGAAAAGAATCGGTTTTCGATGAAATTTCTACACAATATTGCTACTATGCCAAGAACACAAAAGCCTTGTAGTTTTTGAGAATAGGTGCGGTGACGGCAGAACAAAAGAATAAACGCGAAAGAGAATGAAAGATGCTCAAACGTCGTTTTTGGACGTTTCAGAGAATCCTGATCATTTTTGAAAAAATGCTTAGAGGTAAAAGCTTATACGTGGGGTTGCTGGGGGAGGTTTTATCTCAAGCTTTTGATGTTAGTGCATTTATACGCTCCTAACCTTGGTAATGCTACGCACTTATTAGACATATTTCACACATCATAGATTACATACATTAGCCCTCAAAAAAAAAACATTCTCAGCAGACGGATCGCATACATACCGGTCGCGGCGGCTGCTGCTGCCGGCAGCGCGCCAGCCGTGTGCATAGTGTTTTAATTCAGCTGTTCCATCAATAATTACGAAAGTAAACAGCTGATGACCGTCACCTGTTTCTCACGGCTTACTATCCTTAGCTCCCCTTGTCTATCGTACTTGAACTTGATACCATATGTTTATCGGAATTGTTTGAGCTTAAGTTTCCCACCTAATGGATTCTTCGAACAGTAAATGACTATAACTCACAGTTATCAATGATTCAATAGTTACATAATTTTTTTATTAAGCGTCTTTGTAATAATAAGTCGTATCATTACCATATACAGGGTTTGTCCGGAAAGTAATAGGACTGAGTCGATTTAAAAAAATGTATTGAGCCAATCGTTACAATTCTTTAAAAACTTTCTAAATAAGCTCCTTCTGCGTCGTTGCAGCGCTGCCAGCGCGATTTCCAAGCATTGAAGGCGTCACGGAAGGCATTCTCCGGAATAGCCTTGAGAGCCGCGGTGCATGCTACTTGGATCCCCTCTGTCGTCTCAAAATGCTTGCCTTGTATCGGCATTTTCAGGCGAGGAAACAAAAAAAAGTCCGGGGGGCACATCTGGGCTGTAGGGCGGCTGCGGAAGCGTTGGGATGCCGGCCTGGGTCAGGTAGCTGTTCACAAGAAAGGCGGTGTGAGCCGGGGCGTTGTCGTGGTGCAACTTCCAGTCGGCTGCGATGTCTTGTCGGACCCGACTGACCCTTCGTTTGAGTATCATGAGCACTTCCACGTAAAATTTGGCGTTGACCGTTTGTCCAGGAGGAACAAATTCATGGTGGATGATGCCTCTGATGTCAAAAAAGACAATGAGCATCGTTTTCACTTTGGATTTGCCCATTTTTCCTTTTTTTTAGGCGAGGAGACGCCGTCGTGTGCCACTCGGAATATTGCCTATTTGTCTCGGGATCATACTCAAAGATCCACGACTCGTCACCTGTGATTACGCTATTCAAAAATTGATGGTCACTTTCACACATGTTCAAATTTTCTTGGCACACTTCCACTCGCCGCAATTTCTGGTCGTCAGCGAGTACTTTTGGGACCATCTGGGCCTGGTGCCACCGAAACACACCACTTCTTGCTAAAGCAACACCTGGGTAAGCCTGTTTGATCATATCAAACGTCTCTGTCGCAGATTTACCGAGTTTCACACAGAATTTAATCGCGTACCTCTGCTCTAACGAACGCTGCATTTTCGGCTTGCACCACTCACAGAAACAAGTCGCGCAAAAATGCCTGTCCTGACTCTCCAAGTGCTCGGAAACAACTGATCAGCCGCTCATTCGTTAGCTAGGAATGCCCTCTACCGAATCCAGTCGGTGCGCGCAAGTACAGTCATGGCGGAAGAAAATGAGTCCTATTACTTTCCGGACAAACCCTGTATGTCAACCCTGTTTGGTGAAGTAAGAAGCGAAGGGCAGAAACTTTCTTCATGCCTATCCAGGATTGTATTATAATTTTATACTTTCCTCGGCAATGGAGAACTGCTCTTCCAAATTACGTTTTTTCAAGTCAGCCTGGGCACCCAGCTTTATTTCACTTTTACACGTATTTTGTTTTTATCAGGAAATGTTCGATTTTTGATAAAACTCACCTACATTTTTTCATACATTTGGGTTTTAGTATTCCTCCTATTCAAAAGGTGAAATGGTAAAACGCGATATTAATACAGGATTTTGACAAACTTTAAGTAATTCTAAGATGAAATGAATGAAAACTATTTTTTGTTATGTTTTCTAGCAAAAATGAAATATTACGTTCTTGGATGTTATATGACATGCACACCATGAAAAACCATGTCACTCATTTCCGTCAGTCTGTCTATCTGTCAGTCTGTCTGTCGGTCTGTCTGTTGGTCTGTCCACTAATCTTAGAACTGCCTATAACTTGAGAAGTACTACTCGGATTTTGATGAAATTTTTACACAAGGCTACTACTATGCCAGAGATGAAAAGCTTTGGGATTTTGTAAAATCGGTCTAGTCGTAAAAACCCGAAAAAAATAAAAATCGCTAAAACTTCGTTTTTTGATGTTTCAGAAGCGCTTGATCATTTTTGAAAAAATGTTATAGGGGGTAGGGGGTTGTAACATCTTTAGTATTAGTCAAAGATGTTCTATCATTAAGAAGCCTCTGATCCCGGTAACAAAGAGAAAATTAAATGATACGATCTGCGGTGGTGTCGTCCCTGATACACCGCTACAGAAAAGATATTAATACACAGGGTGCGGCAGAGAGGACGGACGTTTTTGGGATGGGTAGTACTCTCCGCCACCGTCTACGAGAGAGGTGGGAGGGATGCCGTTTGACTCGTGAGATCCTAGCATTATTTTACCAGTTGTCGTTATGGAGCCTTGGACGGTGGAGCACCGCGTTTTCGTCTATGGTTGTTTCGTCCGAAATAATGAGTCAGTCATCGTCCTACAGCGTGAGTTTCGTCGCCACTTCAACATTAATCGGAATAGAGCTGTTCCCTCTCGAAACACCATCCTTCGTTGGGTTGAATCGCCTCGCAGGCGTGGTGAACTGATCAACAGAAGACCAAGAGGAGCGCCGCGAACAGTTCGAACTCCTGAAAATGTTAAACGCGTTCGACAGGTCTTTCTTCGCAGTCCGACTCGATCTGCCCGGAAAAATGCTGCTGCACTTCGCCTTAGTGATCGTTCGGTAAGGCGAATTTTGCATATGGATCTCCGCTTTCACCCCTACAAATTGGCCATTGTACAACAGTTACAGCCCGGAGTTTATGCACAACGAATGAACTTCGCACGTGAGATGGAAGCACTAATCCATCAAAATGAGAACCTCATTTTGTTTATCAGTGACGAAGCCCACTTTCACTTAAACAGCATGGTTAACCAGCAGAATTGTCGTTATTGGGCTAATGAAAATCCGCAACAGTTACACGAAAGACCGCTGCACAGCCCAAAAGTAACGGTTTGGTGCGCTGTATCGCAAACTTGCATCATTGGCCCTTACTTCTTCGAAGACGGTAATGGTCGTGATGTTACCGTGAACTCAGAGCGCTACGTCGACATGATCACCAACTTCTTTCTCCCTGAATTACGACGGCGACGTGTTCCAATCCGACGTGTGCGGTTCCAGCAGGATGGGGCGACCGCCCACACAGCCCGAGCATCCATGGACGTTATTCGCCCTCTCTTCCCTGGTCGCCTTATTTCCAGGTTTGGCGATGTTCATTAGCCTCCTCGGTCCCCAGATTTATCCATATGCGATTTTTTCTTATGGGGACACCTCAAGGCTAGAGTATACGCGAACAAGCCCCGAACTCTGCACGAATTGAAGGGCGAAATTCGCGTGGAAGTCGCCCAAGTTGAGAGAGCGATGTTGGAGAGAGTCTACGCGAACATCCAAGAACGCCTCCAGCACTGGATCAACGATTTCGGCCACCACATTCCTGATGTGATTTTCCACACTTGACTGTCTCAAATGCTATTTCCTTGTGAACCTGATTCTATCAATATATTTGTTTTCGAGTAAAAATTAACTGTTTTATGATTTTTTTAAAACCGTCCATCCTCTCTGCCGCACCTTGTATTTTAAATGATGAATGACTGTTTTTATATCTACACATATATTTTTCTGAATTGTATGATCCTTAAATGTACCCCCCATTTCGTCTAACCTTTAATTTATGTCACTCCCTCTATGATGGTTCACTGGATATTTCGTCAAGTAGAATCACTTAGTACTTATGTACTTATGACGTATTGATATACACTAGACCGACAAACTGACATACCTGATGCGGATATCTTTGAACAACAGAGGACTTGTGAACCGAAATTCGAATATAATAACATCACGAGCTTAATACTTCCATCGTTTAGGTAGTCGTAGATTTTGAAAATTGATTTAGATGAGACGGAAATAGTGTTACATTTCGGAGATTTTTGCTCATTTTCAGACATTGTTTGTAGGGGATAAAAATTAAAAGAGCTTGTATTATCAAGAAGCTGCTAATCTCAGCGATACTATGCGCCTGTTAAGCATAATAAGTCACACATATTTCCCTACATCCGCCATAGAAACATTGATATGCAGAGGTCGAAGATTCATCGTACCTAAGTAATCACGATTTCCAACGTAAACTCACTCCACTCTCGGAATGTCCGGGTGGAGGGTGGGCTCGAGGGAACAACATCGAAGATAAAATTTGTTTTTCGAACATCTGCGGGATTAACAGCGACATTGATGGTGTTCATCACTACCTGCAATCCAATCGTCCGCCGTGCTTTTCTTGGCGGAGACAAAAATCTCAGAGTCTGCACCGATTAACCATCTTAACTTCCCAAACTACAAGGTGCACTCCAATCTGAGAAAGAACGGGGGAGTTGTGGCTTTTGTCCACAGCAGTCTTTCCTGCTCCAGA